TTTACTGGTGGACCATTTGTTTGCCCAAAATAGACTCACAGAAAACAGCTGAAAAGCAGTTACTGAACGTACAGTACTGAAAGCAGTAAAAAAATTAAACAATTAATTGCTGGAAAATGGACGTTATCAACTAAAAACAAAGCCTGAAAAATTATATTAACTGYCTTCATAGAAAGCAGTGGATGRTTTTTTTTGRCTACTTTAATACACCATATTTGAAATAAAACTTCAATCAACTGTTTTTCCTCGCATTATCGATATCGAATTTGCATTAATTCAAGGAAAACTATATTTTCAGCAAACATAAATAGTTTTTTTCTTTTTTAAATAATTTTTATTCCTTTTGGAATAAAATGAAAAAAATTGCTTTAGTTTTAGAAAGTTTATTGACTAAAACCATCAATTTTGAGATCAGTATTTACTAAGCTGGCAAAAATCAGCGTTCTGGGCCATTTCTATGAAACCCTCAGTATATTTAGTAAGCCGGCAAAAATAAGGATTCTCGTTGATTTTTATGAAACTCTCACAATATGTAGTATAGTGTCTTATAAAGACGGGTGAAAATATCATGCTGCTACTTGCTTTAGTTTGGAAGATACTGATCATTTTTTTTATTTACCCATAATAATTTTTCGCGGTTAAATTGTTGTTATTCCTATTAGATAATTATCAATTTATTGGGTCAGTCACATGAACCGCTTTAACCATAGTCGAAAATATAGTTTCAAAATTACAACAGTTCTAAAGCAGATAAGATTTAAAAAAGTAAGCAATATTCAAACCACCCAAAATACATAGAAGTGACAAGATTAAAAAACATGTAAAACTGTGCGTGTTGCTGTATGAAAATTAATAGATTGAGAACAGAGGAATCAACTGTAAATTAAGAAGTGATATGTTTTGAAATTTTGAAGTGGTGGTACTGAAAAGCGCACAGATTAATTACTGTTTTTCTTTTTAACTAATAAATCGACAAAATCAAAATGTTAACCTAACAGACTTACTATCACTAGCGTCTAGCTAAAATTTAATTCATTTTAATTACTTAGTTAATTATCGACCTCAATTCTGGTGACAAAACTCCTACACTAAAGATTGCTCCAGTTACTCCCTCATATTGCAAAACCTGGATGGCATCAGTTTAAAGAGCCAAAGTCGCTGAAACGCCCATGCTCATCTTAAGGATTAACACACAACAAACTTATATGAAACCTTTTTATCGGCTGCAAGTTTTTTCGAAAGAACCATAAGTATTCAACAAATTCTAAACACGTTTCTAGACAAAGGTTAGCAGTTGAATCACCCAAAAGGATTTAATTACTCAGGAAGCAGACGAGAACATGAGTCTATCTTTACCAAAATCACACGTCATGCATCGGGGTCCATCAAAGAAAAAAACAAAAAACCAGACACATTTTATTCACCTGGGGCATTGGTTAGCACTACATATTTTTTACATCTATTTAAGCGGAATTAGCTCGGTTCAGTTCCACGAAGAGCCTGCTGGTTAATTACCCATTTAAATGGCTGTTCAAAAAGTGGACGTAGGTAGAAGTGGACACTGTTAGATGCTAAATAGTAAATAAATGTTGAAAAGGTTTTTTGAACTTTTTCATATTTGTGGAAGTGCTATTTTTTTGAATGTTAGAAAAGCATCAGTTTGCTAGTTACTTTCACTAATATTTTCATGTCTTTTTTAAAAAAAATTATGTGCAAATGAAAATTCTGATTCTTTTGTCGGTGTTTTTAGGCCGTCTCCTTTATTTTATTCCTGGCTTTTTGCAAGTTGTGATGTCGGTATATATGGCGCTTTGACAAGTTTTTCAAATTGTGTGGATATTTATTGTAATTTGTCTAAATCGTAATTTGTTACTTGCTTTGATTAATTGATGTTCATGTCATATTTTACTAAAACTCATGTTTTTTATGAGACGATTTTCATTCCTCCAATAAGCATTCGACTTTTCAAAAACTATTACTCTCAAGCCAATGCGAAAAATTTGTATCTTCCAATTACATTCCGTACTTTTTTCACTTTTATCTACTAATTCTAGGGTCAGTTATTTTGAAACCCTTTAGCTTAGGTCCGGGAAATAAAAAATATATATATATTTAATTATTTCAAGAACTACTAAAATTAAAGTTATGTAGTTGTTCAGTTTTGCCCTGTACCTCATAATCAAATTATCAAAGGAAAAATTGAAAATCGTCATTTTTCCTCTCCCAAGACTCGAGCTCATATCTTCACTGTTTATAAAATATAATGCATATATATGTCTGTAGGGGTTTGAAAATATGGTTGATTTTTAGCCAACATAATTAATATTTAAATATTTTGTATTTATACAATCCATACCTGTAAATAAAGGGTATTTATTTAAACATTTTCATTCATAACATAATTGCAAATAGTTCAAGGATGACTCACAAAAGGTCGTATTTTTAGATGCGAAAATTAACCTAATTATATACGGAACAATAATTATTAGGCTATTAAAAGGAAATATATCCGACGCGTGACTAAAAATAGTAGACAAAGTTGTATTCATGAACTAACGGTAACTTTTGTCAGCTTTACCTAGACGATGTCGCATCAATAACCAAGCGGAGACACACTGAAACGCTTTCGGTTGAAACTTACATATGTACATAATTTTTAACCAGTTTAAAAAAAACTTTTAAAAATAATTCAAACATTCAACTACCTAATACTCGAATACACGTGCAACGGAAATTTACTTGAGTTGGTATCGACCATCACCATCTGCCATGTTGGAGACACAAAGAAAAATTTTGGTTCTTCGTACAGCTGGGACTGGGTTACCTGAGATTCCTTTTTGTTTTCACCTGCTACCATACCATTAGCAGGTGTTGGCTTAGTTATATTACTTACACTCGCAAAAAGCATGTTTTTATATGCAAACGAACATTATCAGAACGAAAATCGCACTGCAAACGACATTCAGCAAGGTTGATGAGATTTCACACAAGACAACTGAACACTCATGGAGGCACAATATCTTTTTGCTATCAATTTGGAGGCCCCAAGAGGAGAAAGCGAAGGAACATGGTCAATAGGCCAATCCGATGACAAATTGCACATAATGATTTTTTATGATAATTTAATGTGCGATATGAATTTTAAATCAGATTTACTTTATTGAGCAAATAATTGATTATGCGGATTACATTCGTCTGTTTTTGGGATGCTCTGCGTTTTCCAATAGTCGACTTGAACTTCTTCTAATAATCTGGTCAATAATAGAACCTAATCATACTATTTTCAGTCATTAGTCCAACTGTTGGGACGGAGGCATTGTATTTTGTAAATTTAGATGCAAAAAAGATAACCTTAGCATTGAAATCAGTTGATATTAACAAGGTTTTAAAGGTTTTGGAAAAATGCACGTCGGCAACTAAATCAAACAAATGCAATGCAATTAAACAAATAAATCCAAGGTTAATTTTATCAATGCAAGTGTACTCAAAAAAAACTTAAATTATTTGTGTATCAAGCAAATTGAAAAATGATCTTTTATTAAGTAATGGAGTGTTTTTATTTGATGGCATTTATGGTTTGGTTTTGCAATAAAGTAATAAAGTAACGAAAACAAATTTCAAGCAAGAATAAGATAAGGTGCTTTGACTTAGTTATTATACAGGTTGATCCGGTTGCAGTTGTTCTTGAAACACTCTTATTAGTGTAAAATGAGTCACAAAACGATGCAAATGCTTTGAAACACGGCAAATATCTAATAAATTAAGAGAAACACCGTATAACTTTTAAATATTTTTTTGGTTTTGGTTGGTTTGCAGTTTGAACAAATTTTACATTAAAGTTACACAATGTTTTGCTGTTCTTCGAATAGTCGCTACTTATTTTCAACGCCGTTGAATGGTAAATAATCCCGGAGTAGCAAAGTATAAACCAACATAAAAGAAGTATAAACCAACATAAATTTCATTATTAAATAATCCCCGAACTTTTGACAAAACACGTTGCTTTTTTTACGCCGTGCAGATAAAAAAAAATAAAGACAAATCATCAAAAATGCAATGATAACAACAGCCCTTGTTCAATAAATTATAAACGTTGTATGTTTGAAAATTGATAACTCTGTATATAGAGTGAGTCAGTTTATAATAGCAAGAGTTCCACAAATAGTTGAAAAACTGATTCAGATTTTAATACGTTTAGCAACAGGATTGAAAAATTAATTTTTTACTAATAATTCTAATTTTCATACTCAAATTTGGATTCAGCAAAACAGTTAATATATAATCTATCTAATAGCTAAGTAAAGTTATTATAATTTTAACATGAAGTTGCAAGTGAACATGCTAATTTAGCCAGGTGCAAGTCGTATTGGAAATAAAGGAATTAAACCGTACAGTAGTAATATTTGCAAATATATAGAATTAAAGTTTTATAACAAAGGATCAAATTAGGAGTTTTTATAAAAGATTGAATATTATTCATTTCATAGAATAAGAAGAATGAATTAAGAAGGACAAATTGTCTTTTCGTGGAAAAGTTCCTTATATGTAGATTATTATTTTTAAATGTCCACATGTTCATTAAAAGTGTATAAAGGGTGTCTATAAATAGACTTTTTAGGTCCTACACATTAGGTACATTTGAGGTAACTTGTCCTCAAATGCAAAACTGGTCCTAAATGCAAGTCTTAAATCGTGAATTAAAAAAAAAGATGCCGATGGAACTTGGAGTATCACTTATGAATAAATCAAGGTACAATTTTTGAAGAACATATGCGGATTTAAAAAATTTTATTCAAAAAGTAAATAAACGAACACCCAAAAATGTGAATAATAACGAACTTATATCATGTTAGTTGTTGGCAGTGTAAATAACTAGCGAATGATAAATTGTTATCTCCGATAACCAGTCAATTTCGTCTATAAATTATGATTATCAAAAAATACCTTGAGCACTTTTTGGCTCGTTGAGTGCACAACTCTAAATAAATCAAACAACTCACCTCAAAAACCAGCATTTTGTTCAAAAATCAAACAAATCAAGCAAATTTTTCAGGAAACCAGTCGCAACACTGAACCATAACAAAACACTCTCGACGGAAGAAGTAACGCAACAACGCGGCCGCAAAAGAACAACTCGAAGAGGCACAGAAAAAAAACAATCGACTCTCGCTGGAGACGTTGGCTCAGTGGCGTACGTAATCCAACAAACGATGCGAAATCGAATAATTGTTCGAGCTCACAGTTCCGAGTTCCGACTGACTATGGATCCAGTAGAAGTGAACAAGTGAGTAGAAGTCCGCCTCGAGGATGGTGATACCGGATCATTCACATGGAGTTCGTCATAGTATGGGGGAATAAACTGGTCGGAACGGTGTTCGGCTCAGCTGATGGTGATGATTGTCCTTCTTTATGCTTCGCAACGGGCCATCTTCAGACACCGTCATCTGGGGGCATTGTCTTCTTGGACCTGCTCTTTTGTCTGATTGCACAACTTTATGAAAAATCCGGTTCAAGTTGAAACTCAGTTTGATCAACTCGAAGCCTATCTTTTTGATACGATTATCATGTCATTTAACCGTTATAAAATTCAAATCGATTTTAAAAATTAAATTCTCTCAAAAAAATTATTTTCTTTGACACATTGGTCTAGTGAACTAAAGCATTTGTGCTAACCGATTATTTCACTCTGTAAATTAAAACACTAACCTTTTTCTTAATTGCAACCTTTATAAAATAATTTCGTATCGTTCGAAAGACTTATTCTAAACTTAACAATTTGAACAAGTATATTACCTGATCAATTGGACGTAGATTACATATTTCTATATAATCATAATTTGAGCATCCCTTCTAACCCTTTCTGAATCATAATTTCGGATGACTTTAACTCAGCTGGCTGACTTTGGCAATTTTGATAAAAATATATTTTTGGGCCATAAAATCAAGAATAAACACCGCGGCGGTTTTGATAAAATTCCAATCAGCTTAATAAAACTTTCTGTATGTAAATTAACGCAATGTGCTTTATAATTAACAATTCTTTAAATCTAAAAAATGAGCTTGTTAAATCATTATACATGTAAGGTGATCCACAGAAAATGAATTCTTATTGACCAAGAAGTCTTCTGCCAGGACTTTTCAAACTTTTTGAACTGGCAATGTGGAAAATAATAATTTGGTATTGTTGGTTGGATAAGACATCGGCCTTATATAAATTTATAGAGTCAATCGTTAAACACTTTGAAAATGGAGAGGAGCACTTGGCATATTTCTGATCTTTCGAAATCGTATGATGTGAACAATTTCGAAAATGAATAGTAGTCAATATATCAGAAGTGGAGCAAATTAATTAGTTTGTTTAAATTCTTAAAAGCTTCCGTTGGAAATTAAAATAACTACAAATTTCTATTTTACTGTTTGTTAAAACTCTCTTTAAAATTTGTTTAAATTTTTCGTAAAATTTTTAAAATTTCTAAGATTTCTGGCTTCAAAACCGTTCAAACTTTTTGACTGATTATCATTATTATCAATTCCAAAACAATTGCGCTTATTGTCCTGGATGTTTTCAAATATATTTCCTTCTCAGTTTATTTCACCCAATTCTAATATAGTTTTGGTAACCCAATTTCACAGTAAACATACTTTTCAAAAATTACAATTTTCATTTAATTTTGTCAATTTATATAAAGTCTGAATGCTGCTAGTAATATTATCCAGTGGTCTACTTAAGTACGCACCATATGGGAGACTTTTTTATTATCAGTTTTACAAAAAACAGTTATTCTTCATAAAAAGTTCTGAAATCTAAAATGTTTATCATCAAAATCATATATTATCTTATTTCATTCGTATACGACGTATATCAGAAAATATGAATTTGGCTCGAGAATACAGTAGAATAAAGTAAATTTTCTGATCTACAAGTTATTAAAGTTTGACTTAAAATAACATTTATTTATACCGTAAAAAGCTGTTAACAAAGCTGTCTTGATAATTCGAGACTAAAAATGTTTTTTCTTAGAATGAAATGTATTTTTAACGTTTCAGTCCTATTTGGCAGCGAAAAGATCTCAACACCTGCACGCCGCATTGTTTGCACGAAAAAAAAATACATTTGAATGAGGCAAAAATTGCTGCAATAGCCCATTGCTTGCTTGCTTGCCCATTGTAACAGTCTTAAAAAAAAATTACTAGCAAAGTTGGGTATTAAAGTGCATTTATCTTTAACTGCAAATCAGATGATTGCTTCTGTGAAATAAAATTGATAAACCAATCCTTACTAAGTACATTTTTAGTAATTTATATTTTTTTTTCTAAATCTTCGTAACGATGGTGCAACTTAAAGCAGCGTTTGTTTCTTTCGAACCTTCATACCCTTTAACATATTCGAAAACCTTTACAACCCTGTAACTTGTACACTTAAGCTTTTCTTTCAAAATATAAAATTTATACAAAATTAGTGTTATTAAAACATCTTGTATATGAAACAGCAGTTGATGATCGAAAAATATTAATAATAGTGATCCCACAAAGGCATCTTTAGCTGAAACTCCGGAAAGACTACAATAAGAAACACACCACCAGTAGGATATTTATCAAAAAGACAAATGTTTTCTCTACCATTGATAATTGATAGCTAACGCGAAGAAAGCAACAACAGCAAATACAAAAGCACACTTATTTGAAAACCAAAACGTTTGATTTTGTGCTACATAGATTATTACGTAGAATCCAAAGTAGCATTAAATAATTTCTTTAGAGACATTAATGAGTATTTGCACGGTTTTGTTAGTGACAGATGCTGCTCCATCCTGGGTAGAACATAAATCCTGTCTTTAGCAAAGCGGTTTAAATGGGTATAAGTAATGCTTCTGTGCGGACATTATGATAACGTTCATATTGAGATATTTACGCCTAGAAAGTATTCGATGTAGGTATAAGTATCTCAACATTCATACATTAACTTTGATTTTTTTTTATGTAGAAAGCTAAAATATGTTGATCTAATTTAATTTAACATCTTCTGTGTGCAGCAATTTTAGAGAGTATAAATAGATGTTGTTGATTAGAAGATTGTGCTGCAGCACATTGGGGTTTTTATTTACTTTTCCATTACCATTACTTTTAAGGTTTCCGGTGCATTTAAGTTCAATCAGGAAACTTTTAATATAATTTTTATCAAATCAAAGTCAATTCCTGGGCTTCAGTCATTTATTGTCTCTATTTATCAATTAAAATACGTTTCGGTGTTTTCCACCATCATCAGTTTTTATGTGTAGCATTGTTGCTACTTTAAGCCTTGGCATATATTTGACATATAAATATATGCCAAGGCTTAAAGTAGCAACAACGCTACACATAAAAACTGATGATGGTGGAAGACACCGAAACGTATTTTAATTGATAAATAGAGACAATAAATGACTGAAGCCCAGGAATTGATTTTGATTTGGAATTGAAACACAGTCAGGAAAGTATGTATAATTTTTATTTCTATTCTCTTTTATCCTTAGCTGTGTGAGTAGCTTTGTTAACAATACTGTCTCAGTGGGTTGCTAGCCTTGCTGAGTCAAGACTGTTTTTCGACCTTCCCTAGTTTAAAGCAATTTGGTCTTCAGGTGGTATGATTTTTGGCCTACGCACCAATAATGCAAATTAAATTTTGAATTTAAAATAATAATGATAATTACTATAAACCATTACTTCATGTAGTGGCCCCGCATCTGCGAAAATGTTTTTAAAACACGAAACTTCTCCTAATGCGTTAGACTCCTCCAGCGCTAGACATAGAAAGCTTAAATACTATTATGATTCATAAAGTTCCATAGAACATGCGAAGATTTCGAATTGGCCAAACGCGTAACAGAACATTTCCATTTCATTTTGAAACGGTCCATTTCTAACAGTTCCGAAAACGACCAGTATTCTGCCTACGGAAAACACGGAGAATTTTAGACGAATTATTTAGGACAAGGTGAAATTTAACAACAAAAACATAACGGCACCTAATTATTCATATGCATATCTCTCGATGACTTTGGCGCAATATGTGTTAATTTGGTGAAATGAAAATGAAACTGATCGTCAGCAAAAGTAAACGGCATGTACGTAATAGTGGGATTGTTAATGAAAAGTACTGTTTGGCTTCAAAGAAAACTTCTATTTTTTTCGGACTCTTTGTAAAATTTCTGTGGTTATTTATTTTGAAAGTAGCTAATAGTTTTCGTACAATAAAATTGTGTTAAGAAGATATTTTACGTCTAATTGATATTTCATGGTTTTCGAAATACATTTTTGGATCAATTTTCAACTTCTTTCTTTGCTTTTTATAATATTCGCTGTATGTATGTGCTGTACTTTTAGAATGATACTGTGAGTATTAGTTTTCTGATTGACTTTTTGCGACCAGTACGGTTCCCTTTTAACAATGGCCTCCAAAACTCGACGGAAAAAGAACTGGGCCAAAAAAAAATTCGTCCAATACCCCAATATTCAAGCAATTAGACGCTTGAAACACTTCTTTGCTTACGGAGGTTTTTCGTACTTCTTCGAATAATAAAATTCATCTTTTGGTGAAATTTGGCAAACTAGTTCAGGGACATTGAGTCACCATTCCGTTCTCTTGTTTTTGCTCGTATACTTGCTTCTACAGGTTTTCTCAAATTTTGCATCATATTGAACCTGACCTAATAATATATGTTGATTTAAGTAATGTACATAAATATGCCATACCAATGTGAGACTAAATATCCTTTTAGCATTCAACGAGTTTAATATTTATGTAGGCATTGCTTTAAAATGCATGCTAAGCGCTAACAAAACGATTGGTGAAATAAAAGAAAACAAATTAAAATTAACAATAATCCATCATACCTAAAATGATTTTAATTCAGAAATGTAAAGTCTAACGCAAACAAGTTTTAAATAAAGTATTATTTGTATTTATTACAGACATAGTTTGTACCTTGAAAGTATTAAATATATTTTAATAAATTTACGCAATAATTTAGTTCCTGTCTGAGGTTGAGGTGGTGATTACATGAATCAGCTTATGTTAGATTTATTCGCTTCTTTTCAAGGCTGAATCAACCAATAAGACCAATAAATCATAAATATGTACTCACATAAAACATATCATGAATGTCTTAAACATCACTTTAAAACACAAACAGTAGATACATATGTAAACTGATTGTGATTGACGAATTAAACATTCACCGTCACTAAAGCTTGTATTACGCAAATTGGAATGCCGATGCAATGTTTATTTCAACTGAATTTATATACTAACAATTTTTTAAATAATTTTTTTTTAGTTTTGCCAGCTACCTTAAAGGATTAACTGAAAACTTCTAAACGTAA